CCATTGTGGTGGCCTTTTTTTACCTTCTTTGTGCGATTGGCGTGCGAATTATTCGCAGATTGAATTTGATTGGGCGCCCCCAATCTGGGATTGGATTTGCTTGGGCGCCCCCAATTTGGGATTGTATTTGATTGGGCCAGATTGGGCGACACTGTGACCGTCGTTTAAACGTAATATTGAGGCACCTACGTATCGTTGCCGTAGGATGCAAAATGTTTGCGTAATGTGTTTCTTTACGACTTCTCATCGAAGTGGGTGGTTACGTTCTCCGTCGACCTCCTTATGGGGGTTGCTAATACGCAGGAAAATATTTATGCAATTTTTTTTATTACGCTTATCGTCATAAATCTTATCGTGACGAACACAGAATTTTTTCCCAAAAATATACTCCTCTCGGATAATATTAACACTTAAACCCGCGTAAAAGGGTTGTTTTTTAAAAAAGTTTTATTGTTCGCTATAATAGTGATAATATGTTTGCTTGCGTACCACGTGACCATTGTGGTGGCCTTTTTTTACCTTCTTTGTGCGATTGGCGTGCGGACTACTCGCAGATTGGATTTGATTGGGCGTACCCAATCTAATTTATATTGGGCGATCCCAAAATAATTTAGATTGGATTTGATTGGGCATTTTTAACAGGGATACAAAGTCAAATTTCTAATCATCCGATTGCCAAGTTATTGGTTAAAAGCATCAGTTACACCAACATTTAAGTAGGGCGACAAAACCAGTGCCTGTACCTACGGACCTATAAGCCTCACTTTCGAGTGTTGCAAACTAATGGAGAAGATAATTTACAAGCAACTGCTTTCATTTTCTCTTCGGGCAGGCATTATTCCGAATATCCAGCATGGGTTTTTACCACACAGATCAGTGATTACATGCCTTTTATGCTGTTTGAATACATGGACGTTACATGTTGATGCTGCTGATTCTGTAGATGTTGTATATCTGGATTTCAAGAACCCATTTGATCGAGTTCTTCATATACGTCTTTTGGGCAAACTTGATCACCTAGGTATTGGATTGGCGCTTTCTTGTCAAATAGAACCTTTTATGTGAAAGTCGGAAACTCTTGGTCTAGAGAGTGTCCTATTCTCTGAGGGGTTCCGCAAGGACCTGTTCTTGGACCTTTGTTATTCACTTTATATGTATGAGATCTCAGTTTCATAATCCAGTCCAAGCATGTTTTCTGCGCCGATGATTGCAAAATATTCGGTAATCATTTGAGGATCACAGTAACATCCAGAACGATCTGGAGATTATCAAGAGTTGGTGTCACGAATGGCTCATACCTATAAATGCAGATAAATGCGTCATTTTGCGTATTGGTCACCAAAATCCCAAACACATATTGCATTGAAAGTTCCTTCAAAAGAAAATCACAAAGACCTTGGTGGATTCACAACCAATGACTCAAGCTGGTATGCCCAGGTCACCCCTGTCGCAAAGCATGCGAATAAATTTGGGGTATCAACGTATAATCAATAGTCAAATTATTGGGTCTAAATTTTTCCAAGGAAATCTAAATTCGCAAATTTATTTGGAATTTCTTGTAAACGAACTTCCTGTGTTATTAGAAGATGTTTCATTCATCATGAGAGAAGGAAGGTATTTTCCTTAAGATGGTGCACGACCACATAACGCGCGAATAATAACATATTGTTTGAATGATACATTTCCTCATAGATAGATTGACAAAAATGGAACAATTCGATGGCCTGCCAGATCTCCAGAATTAACACCTCTTGATTTTTTTTGTAGGGTTGTTTACAAGGTAGGGTGTATGAGCAACCTCAATAGAGCCTTCGCAAAGAATTAGGGTAGAATATGATAAGATTAACCCAGAAATGTCACAAGTAGGCGTTTACTTTATCAAGCAGAAAGTTGTGGCAGAAGGTGTCCTCAATTTGAACATTTAATTCAAAATTATTGTTCTTGTATCGTTTTATTTTGCTTTAAAATTATGTTATGCTTTAGGATTATGTAGAAATTTTCCGTGTATTAGAAATTTGTAAGTAATTCTTCCCCCAAACCTTTATTTGATATCTTCATTCGTTTCTCCTGATGTGTGAAAGAGATAATCTATTGCACCTTTTTTAAGAAGGGCGATATAAAGAAAATTCTCGATCTGTTTCCTTATTGTACAACTTCGCCAAAGCCTTTGACTCCCTTTTATACAAAATAATTTATTCCAGTAATATACAGAGTGATTCAGAGTACTACTGCATCATTTTAACGACGAATTATGTGGCAAAAAATAAGTAAAAACTAAAACTATGTATGATTATTTCTCAAAAACAGGAAGGATACAGAATTTTCAAATTTAATTGCCCAAAACTCCTCGCTATACCCCAAAAAATACTGCATTGTTTTTTTTCACATTTTGTTCTGCATTTATTTGTTATTTTCAGATAGTCGCCTTCGTTTCTCTTCAATCCCTTAATGTTTTTCTCGTATTTTTCTTTAATTCTTTAAATTCCCTATAAAACCAGTTATTTCTTCTTTCTTTTCTGTAATAATTGTGTGTTTCTATCGCTTCGTTCACGCTTAGGTTAAGTTCGTCCACCATCTCGTTTATATTTTTCTTTTTAGTCGGTTCTGGTATTTCCTTATCCTTTTTTCATTCCAAAGTTGTTTGACATTTCTTTCCTTCTTTTTCCTTTCTTCTTCCTTGTCCTAGTTTGCAGATTTCCAAAAGTAAATGATGGGATTCTGTCACATTCGCCACTTGGAGCGTTTTTATTTCTTTTTGTGTCTTTCATCCTTTCTCATTTACAATTCCATAACTAATCACTCCTGCTGCACTTGGTTCCCCATTTGCCAATTTTTCTTCTTCATCACCTTTTTTATTCCCATTCAGATAATCCCATCTTTGTTCTTCTTTCCACAAATTGTCTTAGTATTCCTCTCATTTAGTTTTATCTTATCCTTTGTTTTTCTTTTTGTTTCTCTTTCTGCATAGTGTATTATTCTTTTGCATCTTTCTCCCATTCTATGATTGATGTCCCCCGTCTCTGTTAACATGTAATATTTTTGTTTCTTTTATTCTTTTTTTTCTAAAATGTCTCTGCTGTGTATAGTAAAAATACTCCATATTTTCTTTTCTATTACGACTTTTCTTTATACTATTTCTTTTGTTTAACGGATTGTATTGATTACTCGTTCTACTTATTTCTTGGTAATCATTTCTGCCCCCATGCAAATTCTTTTGGGAATTGTACCTATATTTTCTCCCACTCCTGCTGTCATACCTATGTTTCTATCAAACCCACTACGTTGAATTCTCTTACGTATTCTCTCAAAATTTTCCTATTTTTTTTTAGATCTCACTTTATTCCAAAATTCTTCCTTTCCTCTGTTTGTCTGTCTGTCTGTTTGTCTGTCTGTAGGCTGCATCTCTGAAGCTATTGGTCCAATTACTGTCAAATTTTATGTGGATGTAAACGAGGAACGGCGTACTCATGGATAACGGACGCCATACTTCGTAAATTCTCAAGACTGCAATTTATAAGTTTTGAACACCATACTTAAAAGGCGGAAACCGTACTCTACAGAGTGATCAAAAGTGGTTCACTAGCTCTACGATATCTAGAAGACTTTAACGTTTATTTTTTCTTAGATCTGTGAACTTAATAATGTACCGTTAAATTAGTGCGCCATTTTTGAATCACCCTGTATAAGTGACTCACAGCTTTATGTTTTCTGAACCTAGTAGTGGGGGTTCTGACTTATTCTTATGCGAAACTGCAAATATTTCAGAATTTTTTCATAATATTTTTGGAGTGAGTCTTCCTCTGAATGTCACCCACTTGTCCTTCAGCACAAAAATGACAGATAACTCACCCCTAAAGTGTTCTAAAAAGGTTTTAAAATTTCTACGATTTCCCATCTTAATTTCCCGTAAGAATGAACCAAAATCCCCATCATATACGTAACTACTCGTATTTTATAAATTTTGAATGAAATTTTTCATCACGTATTTTTTTATAAATCAATATCTCAGTTATTTACGGAAATTTCCGAATGCAATTTTCGCCACTGTTTTCAGCATACAGAACTGTAGATACTACCCCAGCGACTTTTTTTGTTAGAAATGAAATATAGTAAAACAGTTTTTGTCGAAGAAATTGCTTTTATTGTATCTCATTTCCTACAAAAAAAAAGTCACTGGTGTTTTCGGGTAGTGTCTAGAGTTCTTGTTGATTTTTAAAGATACGTGATGAAAATCTTTATCAAAATTTATTTTAATTAACTGTTTTTATTTTAGGCGCCTATTATCAAAATTTTGATCAACTAAAATCGGTAAACTTACGTACACAGAAGAAGATTAGACACAGATTATTTATGTGTATTATTCAGTAAACGTATTGTATACAGCTACAGGCCACCTATAAAAATTTGGAAATCTGACACAATATCACGCTTTAAGGAAATACATAAAATCCCTTCTTCCTTAATATGTACGAGTATCATAAAACTGGAAGGTAATAAATTTCTAAATGTGGCGTAATAGAACCCTTAACAAATATATACTTACAATAACAAATAATTTAAAGTTGTCTTGATTTAGTAACTTGATTAGTGCATTACCTCCAACTAAAACTACTGCGTAATTAGTGTTCGTTTTTTTTTAGTGTAGCATTAAATGTGTCAAAAATAAAACTCAATGTTATTATATTTCTACGTATGTCTAACTTTGTTTAGAACATAATTATGTCTTAAAATAAATGTTATATACATTTCCGGAAAAGTGCACAATTCTCATATTTTGGTAAAAATAAGTAACTAAGTTTTTACATTTGTTGTCAGTGTGGAAATAAATTTCGTCCTAAATAGTACGATGTACACAAATTTATTGTTGTTGCTTTATCGTTTTTTGTGGGTGTCGTAAACACTACTTAAAAATGCAATTCAAAACCTACCGTAAACTCGTAAAAATAATTAACTGTTCGCTGCTATATATGCAATTAGTACATTTTGCACTAGTCTGGAAAATGAACTGTGGTTGTCAAGCCCCCTACATCGGTCCATCCCTCGCAAGAACATGCTATGGAGGAAAATTCATTCTCTTCATGAGTATCCTTGACACATTAATCAGGAAAAAGTGCGATTTATCGGAAATGTGCAAACGAATTGTCCCAAAACGTGCACCAGACTCCGAGTACGACTTCATAGTGATAGGTGGCGGAGCAGCAGGATCTGTAGTAGCAGCACGATTATCGGAAGTACCAGAATGGACAGTTCTTCTTGTTGAAGCAGGTGGTGACGAACCTCCAGGAACGCAAGTACCTTCAATGATGAACAATTTTATTGGGAATCCTATAGTGGATTGGGACTTCAAAACTGAACCTCAAAAAGAGGCATGTCTTGGGTACCCTGAGAGAAGATGCACTTGGCCAAGGGGTAAAGTACTAGGAGGTGGTGGAGTAATTAATGGAATGATGTACATAAGAGGGGTTCCTGAAGATTACGACAACTGGAAGAAACAAGGCAACCCGGGTTGGGGTTACCAAGACGTATTTCCCTTTTTTGAATTGTCGGAAGGTAATGAACAAATTGGTACTTTAGTAAGTGAGTCTTATCATGGTAGAAATGGTCCTATGACCATAAGTAGATTTCCTGATCGTCCAGAGCTAGCAAAAGATGTGTTGAAAGCCGCCAAACAATCGAAATTTTTGGTTGTTAATGATCTTAACGCTCCACCCTATTTGGGGTTTACTATTGCTCAAGCAATGCAAAGGTTAGTAATTTCGTATTTTGGGTGAACAAGTACTACTTTTGGTTTTTAGAAATGGCTCAAGACTCAGCTGCGCTAGAGCGTTTTTACGTCCAGCTAGAGATCGTCCAAATTTGCACATAATGATCAACTCAACAGCGACAAAACTGCTTGTGGAAAAGATCAACAATAGTAAAAGATCTGCAGGGATAGAGTTTGTCTACAGAAATCAATCCTTAAGTGTGAAAGTAAAACGGGAAATTATTTTATCTGCGGGAGCTGTAAATTCACCCCATATTCTACTTCTGTCAGGAATTGCACCAAAACACGAATTAGATAAATTTAACATCTCGCTAGTTCATCACCTACCAGGAGTCGGAAGAAACCTTCAAAACCACGTTTCTTTCATATTGCAATTTAAAATGAAAAATAGGAAAGCTGTAAATGATCTGAACAAACTTTCTGTACATAAGTTCCTAAATTTTAGAAAAGGCCCCATGTCGTCTACTGGAATGGCTCAAGTTACTGCACGAATTTGTACAAAACGTACCAAACACTCTTGTCCAGACTTGCAGTTATTTTTTGGTGGATATTTAGCGGGATGTTCTAAATTTGGTTGTGTAGAAGAAATGCAAACACCAAGCGGTTCCTACGCTCCTAGAAATTTTTCAATAACACCCGTGGTGTTACGTCCTAAAAGCAGAGGCTTTATTGGTCTAAAATCAAAAAATCCCTTAGACGCACCTCTCATTCAGCCAAATTATCTCACTGAGGAAGACGATGTCAAAACTCTGATCACTGGAATTCGAATAGCTCAAAAACTTGCTGGTTCTAAAATCTTGAAAAGGAAGTATGGTGTGGAAATTATTAGGGAAACTTATGGAAACTGTGAAAACTTTTTCAGGTGATTATGTTTCTTTTGGTGTAGTTAGTAGTTTTTTCTTTTGTGATTTTAGTTTTAATTCTGATGACTTTTGGGATTGTGCGGTTCGTTATCAAACAGGACCCGAAAATCATCAATCTGGTTCGTGCAAAATGGGACCATATTCGGATGCTTTAGCAGTGGTGGATTCTGAATTACAAATTCATGGTATCGATGGACTTAGAGTTATGGATGCGTCGATAATGCCTTCAGTTGTTTCCGGTAATACCCATGCTACAGTTGTAATGATTGCGGAAAAAGGAGCAAACCATATCAAAAAAAAGTGGTTGCATGCCTCTAAAGGGTCATCTGTCATCTCGATATCTAGAGAAGAGGTAGTCAGTTAAATCAAAGAAAATATTTAGTAAAGTTAACCAAACATAAAAACTGAAATTAGGTAAATTTGTTAGATTATAAAAATATATTAATAATAAGTTTCGTTAGTGTTAATTTATTGTAGCGTTTACTAAAACGTTTTTATTACAAATTTAAGATTTACTAATGTCTCTTTGTCCAAATAAATCACCTAAAAAAGCACTAAGTATCATTTTAGTCGTCCCCTCTGTTTTAAGGAGACAGTTTGCTACGTGCTTAATCCTCGCATTTTTTCGATGTATAAACATAAACAATCGAAGTTAAGTATATACTGCAAGGCATATTTCTTTACCTGTACTTTAGCACATATCTTTATTTTCACTTATAGGGGTTGTCGTAAACAAATAAATAAAACTCCCAAATTTATTTATTTTTTTTATTTTCCGAAGAAATTGTACTTCAGAGTCGAAGGAAGTTCTACCTAAATAACCTTAGACCAGTTTTTTTGTTTGGTATATATAAATCTAGAGTTTTTACATGCAGAGAAAAGAATAAAAATAAAAAACGATTAACGATAACTTATAAACACGTCATTTCTTTAACTTTGTTTTCGCCTTTTAAGTATAAACTTATTCACAAATCTGCAGAAGTTATTTCCTTTCACTAGTCTTTCTAGTTCTCAACAAGTAAGAGCCAACCTTCATTTGTAAACTGATTAAGGTCAGTATGCAACCAACATTACACACGTATTTTTTTAATTGCATAACCTGAAAAGTATCCGAGATCGAGAAGTAGAGAGCGGATTTTATGAAATTTGCATATCCGTTATTTTTTGCATATAAGTCTTGATATTTAATATGTGAACGAATAATGCTAATTAAAAATGAATACAGCTATAAAAAAATTGCATATTTGCATATATTTGCCTTCTGCTGCATATTTCACCAAACGGGTGCATATTTTGCATTTTTATCAATTTTTGTGCTAATTTGAAAAAAAAATTATTGTCATTCTATCGGCATTTATCTAGAAAGACGAAATTTTCTGAATCATATTGCAAATATTGTCCTGAGCTTCAAATAACTAGGAAAGGTTTGGGTTTTATGGTAGTTTAAAGACACCACTGGGTGTTAAGCCATCCTTCCAGGTAAATTGGCGCCCTAATTACTTCTACCTAATTATACCGTTTATTCCCAATATTTTTATTCGTTAGTTAAGGGGTATGTACGTTTAGTGGTGGTCGAAGGGACGTTATACTATTATTTTTCGTCGTGAGTTTGTATTAAAAGCATTTAAAGGGATACAGGTGTATCAATATGTCGAAGATAACTCAAATTCATTTATGGATTAAACCTTTTCCTGAACTTATTCTTCAAGAACGAACTGTGTTTTGTCGCGTCTGCCCTAAACCGGTATGAATTTTTACATCTGTGGACGTAGTACGCAGTTTTTCTATTTATAAATACATATACTTACTTTAGAATCACCGGAAACATTTTTTTTTTAATATTTCGAAAAATATCTAAAAATAAATTGTTACCAAAATAGTAATTAAATAGTGGATTACTACTATTTTTTAATTTGTTCCGTTTATACATATTTATTTTTTAGTATAAGAATATTATCTTTAAAAACGTGATTTATGTGTTAGTGAGATATAATTAAACACTTTGCAATGTGATTTATGTATTTTTTGTAATAAAACGTAAGCTCGGTAACCCTGTTTTTGTATTTTATAAATAAATTTAGTTCTTTTTTTTTATTTTTGGAGCATATGCATCTGCATATCTCTGCATATATTATGAAAGTTACTGCATATTTGCATAAATTTGGTGCATATCATATGATCATATTTCTCAAAATTTTGGTGCATATTTTCCGCTCTCTATCGAGAAGAATCGCACAGCATTTTTTGACCTAAATGAAAATTTAGATTCTTAGGGAAAAACTTAAGGTGGATTCATAAACCACAAATTTTATATGTATGTTAGGAACTAAACAGGGAGCATTAATAAAACCAACAGAGGTAATAGGTGCAGTAAGAAAACATTTATTTTCTGTGCTGTTAAAAACAAATTCATAAATATGTTTAAGAATATAATTATTGTGCTTTACATATTAACAATAAGTTAAATTTAAATTTTACTCCTACTATTATTTCAACATTTGAGAGTTAACAATCAAGTTAGCCTTATTTAATTTTTAGTTCGATTTTTCACTTTGCCAATATCAGATATGAAAATATTTTCTGTGCGACATATTTTTTTTTACTTTAATAATAACTCGAAGGCCTCTTTGAATGTATCCGTAGCATTAATTGTTATTATGTTAAATTCGCCTTAAGGCTAACGCAAATGGCTGTGGTATTTGACTCATCTTTTAATTTCCATTCCAGCTTTAATAATGTCTACAAAAAACATGCTGAATTCACTTATTTGAATTTTATCAAAATATAGAATATTAAATTGTTAATAAGCAAACTTACTTGATAAGTATTCCTCGGTATTTCAATAGTGGTTTTGTAGGTATAAGGTTTATTTTTATCCAGTGGACAACTTAAGCCACTATCTTTACACGCATTGTTATTTTCCATAGGCAATGGTGCTGTAATGGAATCCGCAATAGTGTACACTGTTCCTAATACAACTGATGTCAATTCCTTTATCGGGTCATCTGTATGCAACGATTAACAACTATAGCCTTGTTTTTAATATTAATTAATTAATAAATTTTGACAGAAAACAATTTTATGAGGCCAACTTTCTATACAAAGACCTCAAACTCATTTTTCAAAAATTTTAACAGCTGAAATTTTTCATCAGTAAAAAGTTAATATGGTTTTTTTGATTAAAAAAATTAGAGGCGGCAAGAATTTTAGACGCCATTCAAATTACTTACATAGTTTGAAACTGATTTCTACGTTTTGCTTAGTGCCCGTCTTCACATAACATCCGTGCTCTTGATTATCGTCACAATCAAATATTTTCGCTGATTTCAGTAATCCCAGTTTTGAACCTAAAAATAAAGAAAACTTGTGAAAATTTGGCCATACCTTGAAAACATCGTGGTGCAAAATTTTATATGGGATTTAAATATTATGTTTATTGCGGCAGTAAAGCTACTAATTTTACCACAATTGGTATAGGGTGTAGAAACGCCAAATTTAGCTAACAATAAAACGGTAAGAACTGTAATAAACATTGTTGCTGTCATTCACTGTTTAAGCTTCTGAAAATATAGTCTGCAATTTCGATATTTATACCACAATTTATCGAAGGTCACATTGCTAACTGTAATTATGCACTTTTGTTATCTGGTTTCCTAGTTAATTATTTTATATCTTTCAGACATGGCGATATTTCAACGCTAATGGTGTAATTTCAGTTTTATACGGCAGAAAATTTTTAATAAAGAGTCAAAAAAAAAGAAGAAAAGGAGGAAAAATGGAAGGAAACAAGGCCAAAGGAAAAGGAATAAAGGATGCAGATCGGAAAAAGGGAAGCTGGTACAAAATTAGGAGAAAAAGGGTGGAGGTACTGTTTTGGAATGTACAAGGGTTGCGAAAAAAGGAAAAGGAGTTCTGGGACTACGTCGGAAAATTTGATGTGGTGGGGCTAGTAGAGACATGGGTACAAAGAGAAAACTGGGAGAAATTCGAAGGGACACTACCACAAGAAAATGTGTGGGAGTGTCAAGAGGCCACAAAGGAAAAAAAACGCGGGGGAGTAGTAATGGGAATTCGAAAAGAAATGCAAGAGTTGCAAAAGGGAAGTAACAATAAAAACGGACTAATGTAGAAAGTAATACAGCTGGATAACAATCGATGGGACACCAAGGATAAACATAGAAAAGGAAACAAAAGAAAAAGGAGATGAAAAAATACTTATAGGAGGAGATTTTAACGCAAGAGTGGGCGATAAGGAGACAAGAATAATAGATAGAGAAAAGGGAGAGGAAAGAAGATCAAAAGACAAAGCAAATAATAAAGAAGGGAAAATATTGTAGAAGATAATAGAAGAAATGGGATGCGAAATTTTGAATGGAAACAAGGAAGGACATGAAGACAGAGAATGGACGTACATAGGGACTAGGGGAGAATCAATTCTAAACTATGGGATTGCCAACGAAGACGCGTGAGAAGCAACAGAGAGTTTTAAAGTGGGGTAGAATCAGACCACATGCCACTAGAAATAAAAATCAAAGGAAAATAGCAAGAGTACGAAAAACAAGAGGGAAGAAACGAAAGAAAAGAAATAGGAAAAAAAATATGGTATGAAGAAGGAATTCAAAGATACGGAAGTAGACTAGAAAAAAAAAATCGAAGTAAAAGAAGAGCTAGAAGCTATGATAGCAGAACTGATCAACTAAATTGTAAAAGCTACGGAAAAAAGAAAGATATACATATGGCAAAGGAACAAATAATGGATGGAATGGAGAATGTAGTGAGTTGAAGAGAAAAGCAAGGGAAAAATTAAGAAATTGGAAAAATAGCAGGGGAAGGAAAGAAGATTGCTTAAAAGCAAGAGAGAATTATAGAAGAAAATGTGAAGAAAGAAAAAGAGAAAAACGAGAAGAAGAAGAGAAGACAATAAAGTCCCTGAAAACAGAAAAAAAAGTATGGAGATATATAAACAAGGAACGGAGAAGCAAGACTGCAGTCAGTAGAGAAATCAAAATACATGAATGGAAAAGACATTTTATGGAATTATTGGGAGATTGTGAGGAAAAATGCTGCAAAATAAATAAAAGAATCGCAACGACGGAAGAAATGTAGAGAGATTCTAAAATAACAGAAGATGAAATAGAAAGACAGATTGAAAGACTGAAAAAAGGAAAGACACGGGGAGGGGATGGAATCCAGAACCAAGTGTGGATGTTCGGGACAGAAGTAGTGAAAGAAAGAATATGGGAAGTAGTAGATGGAGTTTGGAAGGGAAAAGGGTTTCCTCGGCAGTGGAGAGAAGGTATAATAATCCCATTATTTAAAAAGGGGCAAAAAAGTAATGTGAAGAACTACCGAGGGATCAAATTGCTCAATACAGCGTACAAGATATACGCAATGATACTAGATGAGAGGTTACGAAAGGGGATGGAAGCAATGGGTATATTACCAGACGGTCAGGCAGGGTTTAAGAAAGGAAGAGGTACTATGGACAATGTGTACATCCTGCGGCATTTAAGAGGAAGAGAAATAAGGAAAGATGGTGGACGAATGTACGCATTGTTCATAGATTTCAAAGCAGCGTTTGATAGCGTGAACAGAGAGAAAATGTGGGAGTATTTGAGGAGAAAGGGAGCAGATGCGTACCTGGTAACGAAAACGGAAGAAATATATGAAGAAACAGTAAATAAGGTGAGAGTGAATAGAATAGGGAACGAGAGTTTTTATACAAATAGAGGAGTGACCCACTCAGCCCCGTATTGTTTGCAGCTTATCCAGGAGATATAGAAGAAATATTCAGAAAAGCACAGACAGGAGGGGTGGTAGTCGACAAAAAGAAAGTGTGGTCGTTGGCGTACGCAGATGATTTGGTGATTGTGTCAAAGAAAAGAGAAGAAATGAAAACAATGATTAAAAGTTTCGTATAAAAAAAAACAATTGGAAGTGAATGTGGAAAAAACAAAAATGGTAGTATTTGGGAAGAAAGTAGAAGAGTAGGCATCGAGAGTGAAGAAGATTGAACAGTTGAAACAATTCCAGTACTTAGGATATGCATTAAAGAGCAATAACTCAGATAGAGCGCATATGAAGAAATGGTCCGAAAATCGAACATAGTGATGGGAATAGTATGGGGAATAGGAGAACTTCGACATGATTGTAACAGAAGAATGATGATGTTTGATAGTTTGATCAAAAGTGTATTTATGTACGGAGCTGAGATTTGGGGATAGAGGGAATGTGAAGAAATAGAGAGAGTCCAAGAAAAATACTTAAAATGGACATTGGGTCTGGAAATGTATACGCCGGGGTATATAGTGAGAGAAGAAACAAAAAGGGAGAAAATGAGAGTGGGAGCGGTTAAAAGGGCGGTTGGATTTGAAGAGAAGTGTAGTGAGAGAGGTGATTGTAAAATATTGCAAGAATGTTGCAAAGAAATAAGAAAGGAAGGGGGAAACATGTTTGAAACGAAAGAGACAAGTATAATGAATGAAAGGAATATGCATGTGAAGAAATAGAGAGAATGAGAGAAATGGGAAGGAGTATGAAAGAAAAACTGAGTGTAAGAGATAAGGATATAGATAAGCAAGAACGCAGATCGAGAATATCGGAGTCTAGATATAATACAGAGTGTAGAAAAATAGTAGAGGATGAAGTACCAAAGTACACAGAGAGAGAGAGAGTATAAAAGAGAAAAGAATCATGGTGAGATTTAGGTGTGAAAATGAAGAGAAAGAGAATAATTTTTGGATGGATGAGACTGACAGAAGGTGTAGGATATGTTGGAGAGAGGAAGAAACAATAGAGCATATGCTGGACGGATGTGAAGAATTGAGAGAATCGGAGGAAAATAGGGAAGAAGTGTAAACGAGAAAGTGTTTAAGCCTCTGAAAATATAGTCTGCAGCTTCGATATTTATACCACAATTTATCAAAGGTCACATTACTAAACAGTAAATATGGCTTTCTGTTATCTGTTTCCCTAGATAATTATTTTATATTTTTCACACATGGCGATATTTTCACGCTAACGATGTAATTTCAGTTTTATATAATTAATGTGTTGCCCGTGTTGTTACTTAATAATAATAAGCAATTTTCATTTTTCGTACATAGAAATTAAGCCTAACGCCATTAAAAATATTTGGTTCCAACAAATTTACATTTCAAAAATATGTCAAAGTAACATGAATTTAATTAAAATAATTAACTGCTTTTATTTACCTAAAAAACTCCTTTCAGGTGAACAAATTCGTTGCCTTGCTCACAATTCAGTGATAACTCTGATGTAGATCGAAACGTTTTTAATTTGGAAACAATCACCTCTATTGCACAGACATAATGGTGATATTAAAAAAAAAGTAAACATGATGCACTGTTAAAAAAACATTGATCACGATAATTCTATGAAAAAATGTATTCTTGGAGCATACTAAACTTCATTTATGTTTATGCTTCGAAAAGCACGATAGCACTACAGCACGATCAGATAACAAGCATTAGTGGTGGCACGTGACTATTTAAAAGAAAATTAAATTTGATGGCTTTTGTTTCTCAAAATAGAGAAACAAAACATTCCAAATATTTTAGGGTAAGTAGTTCTTTTTATGAGAATTTGGTTTTGCGATTTCAAAGTTAAATTGCAAAATGATGCAAGATTTCAAACCATTGGGTTTTACAGCAGTATAATATTTCATAAGAATTAAATGTCACTTAACATTGTAAATTTTAGAAATTACGTCCTCTTAGTTTAGGTGGGGGTCGCTTTACACATTTTGGCTAACATTTTACCATCAAACGATTTTCGTAGCATACATATAAAATTTTACAGCAATCGGTCCAATAGTTTGGGGGATTATCTATCTAATAAAAATCGATACAGATGACAAACGACAGACAGACACACAGACAGAAGAAAGGAAACGGGAGATCTATATTTCCGTAACTCAACGATTATTGTACAAACTTCTTATCATGTGAGCATTTCTTTATCTAGTAGTACTAGGTACTACTCCCATGGACCAAGGCAACAATTCCTTACCTTATGCTCAAGATATAAAAGGTATGTCGTTTGAAGCTCAATATGTTTTACTGTACTTCAGGGACGTCTATCGAAACAACTTTCGAGAAATCGAGTTTTCGGTTTTTCGGTGTTTCGATTTTGCAACTTTTCATTTATTGGATTTTCATTTTCTCGATTTCTCGATTCCTCAATTTGCGATTTTTGAATTTTTCAAATTTTTGATGTCTTGATTTTTAGATTTCTCAATTTTTCGATTTTTCGTTTTCCGATTTTTTGCTTTTCTATTTCCTCATTTTTAATATTTCGTCTTTTCGAATTTTCGATATTTCTTGTTGTCAGTTTTTGAGTTTTCGAATTTTTGATTTTTTTATTAATATATATTTCGATATTTTAATTTTTCGAATTCTCAATTTTTCGTTTTTTCGATTCTTCGAATTTTTGGTTTATTTTTCTCTCCATTTTAAGATCTTCCCAATTTTTACTTTTTTTCATTTTGAGACATTTCAATATTTGAAGCTTTCGATTTTTCGATTTTTCTTTTTCAATGTATGGATTATTCGGTTTTTAGTTGTTCCATTTTTCGATTTTTTATTTTTTCAATTCCAGATTTTCCGATTTTTTGGTTTCTCAGAGTTTCCAATTCCCGTTTTTTTTTGAGTTTTTTCGTTTTTCGATTTTTCAAGTTTCCTATTTTTGGATTTCTCGATTTTTCGATGATCGAGCTTTTGGAAATCTCAATTTTTAGAATTTTCAACTTTTCGATTTCTCGACGTTCCCATGCTTCAACTTTTTGATTTTTCTCGATTGCTCGCATTTTCAATTTTTAGATTTCCTGATTTCTCAATTTTACGATTTTCAATCTATAGACTTTTCAGTTTTTGATGTTTCCACTTTTCGATTTCTAGATTTCTAAACTTCTTGACTTTTCGATGTTCCGATTTTTCTAATTTCAATTTCTTTAATTTTCAGTTGTTCGACTTTTTGGTTTTCCCTTATTTTCATTTTTTTGAATTTTTTGATTTTCCGTATTCTTAATTCTCCATTTTTCGGCTTTTTGTTTTCCGATTTTTTGATCGCTGCTTTTTCAATTTCTTGACTTCTCAGTTTTGGATCTATTGGTTTCTAGATTTTTGATTATTCAATGTTGCGAATTTTCAAGTTTTCGATTTTTTATTTTTCGAATTTTCTATTTTTTCATATTTATATTTATCGACTGTTCGGTCTCTCCGTTTTCGATTTTCGGGTTTTCGAATTTTTCAATTTTTCGAATTCTCAAGTTTTGTTTTTCAAGTATTAGATTTTTCCATTTATCGATTTTTGGATTTTTCCTAATTTTAGTTTTTTATTTTTCGACTTTTCGATATCTCAAGCTTTCAATTTTTCCATGTTCCCATAATAACTTTTGCGATGACTCTTCGAGTTTTTAATTTTTCAATTTGTAAATTTCCGAATTTTTCGATCTTTAAATTTTCCACTTTTCGATATTTCGATTTTTTCTTTTTTTGAATTTTCGATTTTTCTATAGTTCGATTTCTCAGTCTGTCGACTTTACCTTTCCTAAATTTTTCGATTTTACGATTTCTCAGTTTTCCAACTTTCAATTTTTCGATTTCTGGGTTTCACGATTTTTCAATTTTGCGCGTTTTTCATTTATTGATTTCTTGATTTCTCGATTTTTCGATTATCCAATTTTTGAGTTTTCCAATTTTTCAGGTTTGACATTTTTTGATTTTAAATTTATCAATTTCAGATTTTTCGATATTTCGATTTTTTGGTTTCTCAGATTTTCCAATTCCCGTTTTTTTTTGAGTTTTTTGGTTTTTCGAATTTTCAGTTTTTCGAGTTTTCAAGTGTCCTATTTTTGGATATCTCGATTTTTCGATTATCCAGTTTTCGGACATCTGAATTTTTCGATTTCTCGATTTCTCGACTTTTTGGTGTTTCAACTTCTTGAATTTTGGTTTTTTCGATTTCTCGATTGCTCGCATTTTCAAATTTTCGACTTTTTAGCTTTCCTGGATTTCTTGATTTTTCGATTTTTCAATGTTTCGATTTTTAGGTCTCCTGATTTCTGGATTTTACGATGTTTCAGTCTATAGACTTCTCAATTTTTTTGTGTTTCCACTTTTCGATTTTTAGATTTCTAGACTTCTCGACTTTTCGATTATTCGAATTCTCGGACCCAGTTTATAGAAAGAGAATTTTTAATTGAGGTTCGTTGCTATGCAACGTGCATGTTTTAACCAATCACGGGTTCATATTCTATATTTTAATCCTCTGTTAAATTAATCGAGGAGTAAATAAGTATTTCATTCGCTTTCGATAAACCGACCCTCGATTTCTTTGTTTTTCAAATTTTTGATTTTCTGAGTTCTTGATTTTTCGGCTTTATGTTTTTCGATTTTTCGATAGCTGTTTTTTCAATTTCTCGACTTGTTAGTTTTAGATTTTTTGGTTTCTAGATTTACGATTATTCAATGTTGCGAATTTTCAATTTTTCGATTGCTCAATTTTTGATGTCTTGATTTTTTGAGTTTTTCATTTTTTGGTTTTTCGTTTTTCAAATTTTCTATTATCTCATTTTTATATTTATTGACTGTTCGATTTTTCCGGATTTCGATTTTCGGGTTTTCGAATTTTTCAATTTTTCGAATTTTTAGTTTTCGTTTTTCCGAGTGTTGGATTTTTTTTTTACTTTTTCATAGTTCAACTTTTTGATATTTCGAGTTTTCAATTTTTCCGATAATAAGTTTTCGACTTTATTTTAAATTTTTCAAGTTGTCATTTTCCGAGTTTTTCTTTCGAATTTTCAATTTTTTATTGTTCGATTTTTCAAGTTCTCAATCTGTCGACTTTACCGTTTCTAAATTTCTCGATTTCTCGATTTTCCAATTTTCAATTATTCGATTTATGGGTTTGTCGATATTTTAATTTTACGCATTTTGTAATGTTGGATTTCTGAATTTCCCGATATTTGGATTATTCAATGTTTGGATTTTCCGATTTTTCAATTTTTACAGCTCTCAATATTTAGATTTTTAACTTTTTGACTTTTCGACTTTTCGATATCTCAATTTTTCAATATAATTAATTATCGTGGTTGTCTTAAAATTATTTACCAGAAAATAGGAGAAAAATTCCTTGGACAAGTACAATAACATTCAAAGGTGTTCATTGATTCATAAACAGTACCCCTGTTAAACAAGTAAATATATATAGATTTCAATAGTAAAAAAATTGTTGCTGCATTTTTAGTTACGAAAATATATTTATAAGGGAAATCAAACAAATTACTGGACAAAGTATAGATTTTGAAAAAAAAATCTATGCCACAGGTGAACAAAGTCACTTTACTCCCCCGAATGTAACTAACTTAAAATTAGTTAACCATTATTATTGGTATTACTGCTATAAGTCACTTTTGAAGAAGTTTGATAAAATAGTCATCCTTTCCACTTAGCAACGTTCATAAAATAAAAAACCTGTCGAAAAAGAGGGGAGAACCCATATATACCCATTTCCAGTAACGCGACTCAGTCTACACCATGGACTGCGGCTGCTGCGTACCATACCCTGGCCCCTCTCTCGCCAACACCTGTTACGGTGGATCTTTTATATTTTTCATGAGCATGCTCGACATCATGACCCGAAACACCTGTGACCTATCAGAAATTTGCCAAAGAATCAAACCAAAATTGCAGCCAGATCTTGAGTACGACTTTGTGGTTATTGGAGGGGGAGCAGCGGGATCCGTGGTCGCAGGAAGACTCTCAGAAGAACCCGACTGGAAGGTTCTTCTTATTGAAGCAGGCGGTGACGAACCATCCGGTTCTCAAGTACCATCGATGATGAGTAATTTCATCGGTAACCCTTACCTGGACTGGAATTATAAGACGGAGCCGCAAGAAAAGGCTTGTTTGGGGGAGAAGGAAAGAAGGTGTACGTGGCCTCGTGGGAAAGTGTTGGGAGGATCTGGAGTGATTCATGGGATGATGTATATGAGAGGAGTACCGAAGGACTATGACGAGTGGGAAAAAATGGGTAATCCTGGGTGGGGATATAAACAGGTACTGCACTATTTTAAGAAATCGGAAGGGAATCAGCAAGTCGGTACTTTGGTTGATGGGGGACTGCATGGTACTGATGGTCCGATGGTAACGTCTAGATTCCCGGATCATCCGGAGATGGCAGATGATATGATGAAGGCGGCTGAAGAAGTGGGTTATTCTGTTGTTAATGACCTAAATGAGGGGCAACATTCTGGGTTTACGATAGCCCAGGCAAATATAATGTAAGTTAATACCAATTTTTTTAAATTTTGTATCGATCTTATAAATATGTAAATTGTATATTATGAATTTGCTATATCTAATCAAATAATAATTATTATTTATAATATGCATGCGTCTAATATTTGCATTTTTAATGCTTACACGCACTAAGTATTTTAGATAAAAGAATGAGGAGGAATTCATTAGATTTTTAATTTTGTATGTCCGTTTACTAGTTATCTTACAACAACAGTGTAATTATTATTGGCTGAAGGAAATAATTATGTTGATGATAAAAAAATCAGTAATTAGGTAGAAATTGAATTATTAATAACCTGGCAAATCGGTATCAAATTTGACAGTCACCCATACAAAGAATTTTTGATAAGTAATTTAATATTTTTAACCCAACTTTTCTAAAACTTGAAACAACAAATTTGTAACGAACTAATTATAAACTGTTGTTGGAGCCAACTTGTCTACCAATAAATTTATAGCTATTAACCGTAGTGAAAGTAAATGGATTCAGGCAAAGAACAATCATCCACACTACCTAGAAAATAGTATTACTAACCGACTACAACTAATAATACATTGTAGTTAATTTGTTCTTTTTTTACCAGAAGTCGTGCCAAAAATATTTCGTTTTATCAGCTTGGATTTGCATTTTCCATGCACGTAATGCACGTATACCGCTCCTACTATTGAGCTGCAAAAATATATTTACTTAATTTGAAATTAAAATATATTTACTGTGATAATTACTTAAAGGTGATTATTTAAATTGGAAGTGCGCGATTAGTTAGACCTTGACAAAATTATATCTACCAAAATTTAGTTTGACAGTTTGAGCAGCACGAAAAAATCTCCTAATAGAAGGAAAAATCGTGTAATGTGTCACAAATATCAACAATGTGGGTGTTTGAAACAAACTATAGAAGGGTTAAGCTATTAGTGAATGTTCTATGGCTTACTGAAAACGAATAATGCAACAATTTACGATGACAATTTTTTTACAAATAAATGTGTATTTCAAACAATGGTAAAAATGTGTTTTTGACCTTCATTTTGATAGTAGAATGTAATTATAAATATTTAATACAAATAAGTTAATAAATCTGAAGAGAGAAAAACCACACTTCAGTTGAAACTTCTGAGATGACATCATCAACATTTTGGTGGGGATGAATAGACAAATTCTGATTAACAATCCATCAGGCTGATGAAATTTCGAAGTACGAGATAAATTTAAGTTTCTAAGATAAATTATTGCAAAATTTTGTTCAACCATTTTTATTTTTTTCAAAATATTGCACATTTGGGACTAAAATAGTGAATTGACATTTAGTAAAATTTTGAGATGAGGTTATCAAATTTTTCTAGGGAATAAGCAGACAGACACATTTTATTTGCAAAATTTCAAAGCTCTAATTGTTCTTGTACAATTTTGAATTGTTTCCAAAAAAATAGATGTTTAAGTTAAAATAACATTATATTGTTTTTCCAACACATGCATATAAATCTATCATAACTGTGTTCACTTTAGACAAGTAAAGTGATAAACAAGTCACTAGTAAATTATTATTAATTAATCAAAACTACACTTTGTTTACATTGCTAACAAAAAAATTTCGTTGGTTACCACGCCAATGTTTTTTTAAATGGAATGTGTTTTTGGAGTTGATTTATCTTATTTTACAAAGTGTTTTTATACATGTGTTGGATAAAATTTTATATTACACTCTTGTGTTATGGCTTGAAACCACTTGAGAAAATTAGACACTCGCTCCTTCGTCGCTCGTGACTAAACTTTTTCTCGCGTGATTTATACGCTGCATAACACACTTGTATAACAAATAACTAATACTCTAGTTATTATTATAAGTATATTTAAATACACGTCCACTTAGAATAATTTTAAGATCAATTCTGGTTATTCTTTGAACATCCACAGGACGGTCTTTATTTACACGAAAAATTTAACAACAGGAATTTTGAAGATACGCGTCTAACAATATGGCCACCATGCAGACGACAGGTTTCAGACGAAAACGGGAAACCTACTTTTTCATATACTAGGGACCCTATTTCAATACATTCCCAATTTACACCCGTTCTGCTTACATCAGTTAAAAATGTTCTTATACAATTTGAAACTTTTAGTGAAATTTTAGATGCCTAGAAGAAATTTCAAGGCAGATTCATAAATCACAAGTACAAGAGTATACCAAATAACAAAATTTGATTAGCATTTACCAAAAAAAATCTAGCGACGATGTCATCAAATTATTGGTGGAGACGATTAATCAATAAAACGTCGAAAAAACATGAAAGTAGTCAATCACCCGATCGACAATACTTCCTTAACTTAACTAGGAAAGCAGACACACTAGACAACAAGACCATCGAGTAACAAAAAAATAAAATTTTGGCAACCATATCATTAGTAGTTGGAATCAGCAATCACAAGTATGAGATTTGGATAATAACAGATTGCATCTATTTTTATTAATACTATATTTGAAATATATTTTAATTAATTGTAATAACATAGTGAATAATTGGCATTTGTTTCTTTGCTTACTCTAGTTACCTGTACTTTGAATATTTACCATTATAACTAGTTATAAGTATGGCCATGGTGAACTTGAATGGTGCTCTCAATAATTTCCATCCAACGAATGGCTATTTTCATGTTTTCTCAAACGTTTGCTGATTCCTAAAATACGAAAAAATAGGTCTCCGCCTGTCTGTCTGTCCGTCTGTTCGTCGGTCCGTCTGTCCGTCTGTCTGGCGTCCCGGATTTTTACTAAACAGATAACCGCCGAAAATACTAAACCGATTGTTATCAAACTTTGTATTTATATTAGGAATATCATGTAGATCGCAAAACGCTAACCAAAATTTGTCTAATCATTTCCACCAATAATGTGATGACGTCACTTCAAAATTGTATAGTAAATGGGTTTTAAATTGTATAAAATAACATAGTCCTACACATGTAGTTTATGACACCCAGTTGAGTTGTTACCCGAAACGTGCAGATTTTTGGAAACAAATCAAAATTATAAAATAACATTTTGTAAATTAATTTTGACTCTGCCAAACCAAATGCATTTTTAAAGTTATTATAAGCATGATAAATTTTTAATCAAAATTTATTTGCCCATCTCCCTCCAGAAATGGATGACGTCACCTCAAAATTTTACCAAATAAGTCCTGTTTTATATGTGCAAAAGATGATGAGTTTATTCTTATGATTTATCATCCTGTGGCGACACAATAATAAATAGTGCTAAGCAGAGAAAGATAAGCCGTTCCGTGGTCTAGTGGTAAGGGCACCTGCCCGGCAATCGGGTGACGTGTGGTTCGATTCCCATTCGGGGCAGCAACATTTTACTTGGCTGACCTAAAATTCCATTCATATTTTTTGGATTCGCTTATACAGGGTGACTCAAGAAATTAATGAATTCGTGGATTTATTTTATTGATTCAATCAGAAACTACAGAACCGAATACTTTGAAATCCTGGCGATGTTTTAAAGTTACCATAAGCATGGTAAATTTTTTATCAAAGTGTATTTGCTTATCCCCCCTAAAAAATTGATGACGTCACCCTAAAATAATGCTGAATAAATCCTGTCTTAAATGTGCATAATATTTTTTAGATATGCACATCTCTTAAAAAAAGTAATAAATCAGTCAATTTATTTTATTGAATAAATCAATAGTTGCAAAACTGAATACTTTGAAATTTTGCAGACGTTTTAAACTTATTGTGACCATGGTAAATTGTTAGTCAAAATATATCTGTTTATTCCCCCCAAAAAAGTTTGTCGTTGTACCCAAAATGTGCAAAATACATATATAAAATTGAGTTTTTATTTTTGTTATTTATTACTGCATTCATATTTTTACTTCCCGAGCGTAAGCAAAGGAAGTATTGTAATTGAGTCTGTTGGCCGACTCTCTGCTTTACGTTTTCTCGATCTTTCATGACCCCTAGAAGACGAAGAAATAGGTCTCCCATTTCCGTGTGTCTGTCCGTCTGTCCGTGTGTCCGTCTGTCTGCCGTCACAGCTTTTTATTAGACAGATAATCTCCGAAAGTCCTGGACCGATTGTTGTGAAATTTTGTACTTATATTAGGAATATCATGTAACCAAAATTTGTCTAATCAACCCCACCACTAATGCGATGACGTCACTTCAATATTGTACATAGTAAATGGGTCTTAAATTGTATAAAATAACATAGTCCTACACATGTAGTTTACGACTCCGAATTGAGTTTTTACCCGAAACGTCCAGATTTTTGGAAAAAAAATCGAAATTATAAAACAACATTTTGCAATTTAATTTTGAATCTGCTAACCCGAATGTTTTGAAATATTGCAGATGTTTTAAGGCTCTAAAGAGCATCATAAATCTTTAGTCAAAATATATTTGGTTATCCCCTCCAAAAACTTGATGACGTCAGCTCAAAAGTTTGCCGAATAAATCCTATCTAAAATGTACAAAATATGATGTGTCTGTACGTGTGATATATCACTCCATTCATATTTTTTGGATTTGCATATACAGGGTGACTCAAAAAAATTAATGAATGCGCAAAATTCATTTTACTAATTTACTCAGGAACTACAAAACCGAATGCTTTGAAATCTTGAAGATGTTTTAAAATTATCATAAGCATGGTAAATTTTTGATCGAAATGTATTTGGTCGTCCCCCTTAAAAAATGTATGACGTCACCACAACATTTTGCTGAATAAATCCTATCTAAAATGTACAAAATATGATGAGTCTGTACATGTGATTTATCATTGCATTCATATTTTTTTAGATTTGCTTAAGAGGTGACTCAAAAAAATTAATGAAGTCAATTTATTTTATCGAGGCAACACTTATTATTAGTATTACATTGGACCAACCCAATTTGGTAGACACAAAATTTTGTAGTAAAAACTCGGTTTTTAGCACGCTTATTTACATTTACTTTAACATTACAGACGTGCATTTG